CCTCAGCAAACCGAAGGAAGCGGGGATTAGTGTGACGTAACACAAATTTAAACGCTGAGCCTAGCTCTAATTAGTGACCCCAGTCTAATAGGTGTTTGCCTATTGAGGAAGCCGGCGGTCTGCGCGAACATGGAATCTGACGAGGGTAGGCAATCTGAGCAACTTCACGTTGAAACCATTTTGGCACATGTTCCTTGTCAGCCTAAAGCTGCCTTGGACGTAGGTGTGAACTTCCGTCATTCGGTTTGCACCTTAAGCTTGTCTGGTTGCACCCACTGTTAGCTATACCTATGCATATCGGTTATTGTTAATGGTACTGAGGAGACAATACGAAATGCATGCATTTACCAGCCTTCGTCTTCTTTCCGTGCTTTACAAGTTCACTTGTTTGTATTTTGCTCCCGTTTGTTTGAGCCACACATGCAAAGCGGGCATCCGCGTTGCGACCAATCGGACGCTACCTGGCGCTTGTCCTCGCACTTCACACACGTCCATATCCTCTCTAGCTAACTGTCCACAAGTGCGCTATTTTTAGCTTTAGCCACTTAAGCTACCGTCCAATAAATCTTTTTCAGCTTATTTTTGTGTGCTCTGCCATGCGCTCCCGGTTGGTAATTTAGCCGCGAATCTGGTATATAGCGCATGAACGACTCGCTGTAAACCGCACGTCGAACGCATTCTCGAGGTTCAGGAACACAGCTATTGTCGGTCTGCGGTACCTGTGACGCTGGCTTAGCACCTGACGCAGAGTGAGTATATGGTCTACACAGCCAGGTCCTAGGTGGAAACCTGCTTTCAGTTGACTAATCCAGGGTTCCCGCTTCGCAATGAGGCGAGGAACGAGAATCGAGGAGAGAAGTTTTGTTACCACCGTCGTTAGGCTAATACCCCTGTAGTTAGCACAGTGGGTGCGACTGCCCTTCGTGTAAATTGCTATTACAATCGATTAATTCCAGTTAGCCGGGACAATCTCTTTCTCCCAGACATGTTCGAACAGGGAGGTCAGTGCTTTGCAGAGAACCTCAACACCATTCTTCAAATAGTGCAGTTGGCAGGGAATAAGGGGCCAGCAGCACGAAAACGATTGAGGGTGGTGGTCGCGTTTCGGACATTAACCTCCCATGGAATCTCTAAACCAACCGTCCATGGCTCAGCCTGCATCACCTGAGTAGGAAAGGGTCCGAAAGCAGGGTGCCAACTGAATCGTTCTCCGCCAAACGAGGCATACGGAGCTGCTTATTGTGAAACAAGGCATCCATGCTTCTCTGATTGTCTCACCGACGCCTAGTTTCCTGAGACCAGTGGTGCGTAGCAGTTGGGAGAGTTTGCGAGAATTGCCGATTGCTTGCGCCACCTCCATTTCCTGAGTCCTACTGCTCCACCAGTCTTCCTTGTCACCATGGAAGCTCCGCTTTAATTCGTTCCAAATAGTCCGTCCGGTTATGTTACGTTCAGAGCCAGAAGGTAGTTTTCTTCTAAATTCCAACAGGTTTACTGACCTCTCGGACATCCAATGACTGTTGCGGTGACGACTGATAGTGCAGCAAGCAGACTCCTGCGTCGTGCGTGGCAACCGAGGTCCTGGTTTACTGAAGATGTCGTTAGGGCAAGAGGGCGAAAGTCCGGCGTGTAGAGCATCCTGGGAGCTTACCCGGTCGAGGACTCGGATAAATCCAGTTATTCAGGGACGCAGCCAAAATGAGTCGGTAGTCAATAAGGTTGCAATGATAAGTAAAATGCGGAGGCCCGACCACAATATCGGGGACTGCGTGAGGCCTTCTCATCAATTTTTCCGTGTTCATCGAAATGAGCCGCATCATGCAGGCAGCCTGTCTATTTAGCTTCATCCTTTGTTCGAACCTGTTAACAACTGTACTTGTGCGCAGTCCATTGGTAGTTGGCTTCGATTGCAATTGGACACCGTTTAGTGTACTGTGAAATTCAATTAGCTGTTGTCGACTTGTTAGTGTGGTTCTGAACTGTGGAACAAGATGCATTTCGGAAAAAGCCCACCGACTCCCGCATCACGCGTTGTTTGCGCGCCTGGGGTCTGGATGAAAGAAGAGGAGGCCAAAGCATGACTTGGTTAAAATGAATTAAATCCCTCACTTCGAACCTGTCGTCGGTTGGTGTGTCCGGACTGCCTGGCCGGGGATTGAAGGATGATGAACACGTCTGGTTGGATACGCTAGCTGACGTGGCACAGAGCCGACCTCAATGGCGCTTGTGTTGTGAGTCTCTTCGTACCCTCCCCTTTAAGTTTCCTTCCAACCACAATTTCCCTCTTGAAGCATATGTTAGTATGCAGTGTGTTATATGTTTTTGCATTATATAATGTTTAGTATATTTCCTTTGCTTATATCTTTAAGTAGGGTGTCACAGTAGATGAAGCACGTTTCTTACCTTCAGCTAATGTGTAATGATGATGATCACTTCAAACTTGCCGAACTGCCTTTCTGTGGTGTCGGCTGGGTGGTTCGGGCTTATCCTGTTCCAGGAAATAGTTCGGCTGCAATGCTTCAGAATGTACCCGGGTTTTCGCCAGACAAGTGTTTTTCATATAAAGCCACAAATGTCCGTCTAACAATATTGTGACAAGGCGGATGTGACTCGCCACTGAACAAAATCACTGCTGCTTGTTGGACCTCGGCCGGTGGCCGAGTGGTCTGCGCGCCTAGTTTGCAAATATAAGGTCACCAGTTCGAATCCACGTAGGAATGGACGTCCTCGCGGTATACTTAGCCCGCGCACGGCTGGTGGTCGCGCGGCAGCGAAGCGCCGTTACGGCGTACAGCCGACACAATGTTTTCATCATTTTCCAGTGGGTCACTATAGTTAGAAGGATGGACCCGAAGTGTATTAGGCTACAGTTTGGCAAATCACCAGACGAAAAGCATACAAAGTATAAAAAAAACCATCATTGACTCCGCATGGGTGCGAATCACTGACTTCCCTCTGCTACCTTGCGAGCAGGCTATTCAGCTGAGGGCTCGAAAGGGGTGTTCACAAATCCCAATCCATACTTCAGCCTGGGTAACCAGGTAGTACCAACCCCCCTGAAGAAATCATGGGTTATACTGTGTGATGTTCGGTTTTTTTTTACGATAACTAAACTTTCCGTTGATTTCCATGGTTTTTGAAGGGGTCCCGGTTTACTTATAGACGGCTGAAAAAGAAAGGATACGCTGCAAGATCACACAACAGCAACAGCGAATGACCATCGGTTCATTCTATATACGCAAATGCATCACTTCCGACGGACAAATAGCCGAGGGGCTAGTCCACAGATCGAAGGCAAAAACGGTATCAGCAGTAAGCCTGTACGCAATACCGACGTTCCGCTGCCAGATAACCACCACCAGTCGCGTGTGGGCTAAGGACGCTGCGACGGTTGTTCGGTACCCTACGCAGACTCGAACCCGTGACCCCAGATTACAAGGCAAGCTTGTGATCCGTAAGGCGACGGGCCAGGACATATCGAAGAGGCCCGTGTGTCTTTCAAAGTCTCAGTAATAATACGTTAAGATGACGAAGCACCAATTGATTGAAATACGAAGCGCTATAGTAGGGAATATTACATGGATCACAATACGGGAAGGCAATACATAAATGTCAGCAACTGAAAAGAGAAACTGTCACCCAGTGCGTAGTTCCGATGTATACATACGATATACCATCACAAATCCGATGAGACCGCACTGGACAGCTGGTATCACCTGAGCTGTATAAAATGGCCGGTCTGCGTTCTTCCATACGCCGGTCACATAATGTTTTTGTCAGCTCAAGGTATGGTTGGGCGGATTACTAAGGCAGTCAGTCAAGATGGCAAAATAGGAGATGGAAACTGAAGCAGCTTGGTGCGTATTAAGGTGGAGATCATACGATCGGTTAGCTCAGTGATTACAAATCCTACAGTAATGGTGCGACAGCTAAGCCAGAGGCAGTATTGCAAATCTCTTGATCTGATCCTGAACTCACGTACCAGAAAACTGTGACTCCTTGTCTATAATGCTATGATTGTCTCACTCTTTTTCACATTCGCCTTTCACTTTCTCCTAACCAGTAATTAATCATATCGTGTTAACATTATTCAATAGGTTAACCACACTCAAATGCAGAGAATAGTCAATCGATCCCCCACTCAACGGGCTGAACATAGAAATTTCATTTGAGAAATGTTCTTAAAAATTTCAAATAGAAATATTGAAAAACGCAGGTTGAGTTCAGAGATTCACACAAATTTTAGATGAATGTCACATTAGGCCTTCGTGTGTTTTATTCTGCTGTTGATGGTTGTACAAATCAACAATAATTTTACACCTCCAAATAAATGTCTTGACCACAGCTGACAAACCGAACGGAACCCAACAATTCATTCATATAACAAGTAATGGGGCATAGGATGAAATCGGAGCCATGCCAACTCTGGCGACCATGAGGGCATTAAAGTACTTAATCCATGAATAGTACAATACAAAAGTGACGATAGACTATTCTTAAGAAATATATTAAGCGACAGAAGGATGCTTTTTTCTCCGTACTAGTCCAAAGATAAGAATGCTCGCCGAGAAAACACTAGCAGATAAGTAGTAGCTTAGCCATTGGCAGAATTTGCTGCAGAAAGATTAGTTCATTGACCAGGTTTGGCAAATTCGAACCACATTGAACGTAACTCTCGAAATCCGCGGTAAATACGAGATGATTGGTAAGTGTTTGCTAGACACCCATCGAAGTACAGACCGCCAATCCTAATGCGAAATGAGTTGGGAGAGAAAAGCTCCGAAACTCTCCACTTCGGATGCGGTCCCACTGACCGAAATTGCGTAGGTTTGCTTCAAAGCAAAGTGTAGCCTATATCGAAATTGCGCGTCGCAATGCAGACACGGCGCGTAATCCAAGGCCCAATAATAACCTTCTGACTGCTGTGTCAAGCGCTGATCGCGCAGCTCTATGTTGGTGGCTAAAGTCCTAGCTGCCTAAAGAGTAAAAAGCAGCACGAATCCGGTCGCAGTGTTAGAAGAGAGTAGCTACGAAACCCTCCCAAAATGAACCTTCTTGTAGCCAAAATAAAAAAACGGGAAAGGTAAAAAGATTCTGAGCGACCGGTGCAGCTGTTGCAAATGACAAAACCAACAGGAGTGAGTAGCCCAAATGATGAAAAAACACCGCATAAGAATGAAATCACTGTACATGTGCATGGATAAAAAATGAGTTCCACTCTCATCCTTTTTCAGTTTTGGACCGGGTTGATTTCGCTGGTGGAGCCTTAACTTTCTTGTCGCGCTTTTTCAGTCCGTCAATGCTGGCTTTCAGAAGATTCGAATAGGCCTGGTTGAACCGATTCATGTCCTTAGAGTGCACCTAAAGTAAAAAGCGAACGGTTACATTGACGATACAGCTGCAGGAGTTGGAAGAATCATCATTCTACACATCAGCTAGGGGTGAGAAACGCGGCTTTTGTGCTGCCGTAGTAGAATGCACGAAGATATTCGATCGAAACAGGAAGTAGTAAAAAGCACAAGATAAAAACGAATATTATTATTGTTATTATTACTATTATTATTATTATGCATCAGCAATGAGATCGTGGTTGGAGGATGAAGAAAAGCGGTATGGAGTGGGACAAAGGAATGCACAACACAAACCCCATTGATGGCTCCTATCAATGTTAACAAGTGCATCCAATCAAAGGCATACATCGTCATTCGGACTCCACCAGGAAGCCAAAAGGCTCCAATCGAGGCCAACTTCAAGATGAAGGACCTCCCGCTTGACCAAGTCATCGCTTGGCCTCCCTTCCTCTTCTTTTATCCAGATCCCCGTTGCGCAAACAACAGCAGGAGTTAGTGTGCTGGCCCACGTAACCCGGGGCCAAACAACTAAATCTGGTGTGTTAAATAATGGTGTCATGGTTCATTTCTTTTGTGCGATAAACAAGACGCTGAACAAACTCATTGGCCCCACGATATCCCACACTAGATGTGAGTCAAACTGCGAAGGCACCGGTGATCGGACGCAACAAGCCTCCTTGCGTCAGTTTTGATGGACCAAGTTTCACAACCGTAGGTGTGACGGGCGGCGGCAATGTAGACTTCAGCATAAAGTAACGTCGAACCGGCGCCAACGATTGGCAAAATCACCTCAAGCCTTTACCATATGGTTGGTCAATTTATCTTCTGCTCTACAAACGGTGATACAGCTGTGCACGTGCTTTAATTTTTGAAGGACTAGTTGATTCGCACAAAGGGTAAGTGCAGGGGGTGGTTCCTGCCAACTTTGGAGGACAACGCTGCATTTCGAGAGTGCAGAGCAAAGCTCGAAAAGGCCAACATCCAGCGCTAATCTGTTCAGTGCTGCTTGGAGGGTTTGTGAGTCACAACAAATTAAGGTAATATGATTTGCATACTTCAAGTCAAGAAATCGATGACCTAAAAGCAGCTCTACACCATCCAAATGTCCAGTGAGCGCCGTTTCTATGACTGTCAATGTTGAAGTTAAAAAAGCTGACATCAGACATTCCCGTTTCAAATCATTGGAGATATTGGATGGCGGCGACAGATTGCCATAAGCCCTCACTACCCGAACTATGCAAGTAAAGCGCTCCTATAATAATTACGTGCGCAACATTTATCTTTGCTGGATTGTCGAACTACCTCCTCGTGGTGCCGACTGGATGGTTGGGGATCTACCCGTTCCGACAAAATGTTCGGCGGCAGTGCTCCAGGACGTGATGGGTTTTCACCTAGCAAGAGTTCTCCCTACAAAAAGCCACATGCCCGATTAACAACACTGCGACGTGGTGGATGTGACGCGCCATTAAATAAAGTCACTGCCTCTTGCATCATCTCAGTGAAGCACTGCAATCCTTCAGCTGGACGCTGAATTGCTGGGAGTATTGGGCCCCAATTTGGCAGCCCGCCAAACGAACCGAGCGATTGGAGATCGGGTCAAAATGAGCGCGATTTCCAGAATTCGAACTGCTACCTTGCGGGTCAAGTCTATATGACCGAAGGCTCCGGATCGGGCCCCATAAGTCAACCCCTTCCTCGGCCTGGGCTACCGGGAAGCTGTATGCACACACAACACATGAAATGATGGATTTACAACTTTGTACTGACGATTATCACTCTCTGGACTCGCTCTTTGGTCGAGGTGCTGGCGACTGGGCATGCTAAACCTTATTCTACCGCACCACAAACAACCTTCTTCGTTCCACATTTATTCAACCCACCTTTTCTTGGCAACTCCGCTCCCTTTTCGAGTCGCCAAAAGCGCACTGCAAAGTAAGCGACTTCTGGCCTCAACGATGGGCCGCTCAAAACCGACCGCACATAATCCAATTAAAACAGCAAGGTTCTTATTGCATCCCGCCAGCTATTCAAGCTAGCTATGTACAATGTTTGAGCGCTTCTGTAGGTTGGGTCCCAAGCTGCTTTTGCGCTCACCCTGGAAACGCTCTCGATCGATGTTTGCTACCCAATCGGAACCCGTTTACAGGGCTCCAGCACAACGCTGCGATTGCTCACACCCTTCTCAAATTCCAACTACACATTCACCTTGCGCTTGTCTGGAGATGCAACAACTGCAGCCCCTGGTTGCGCCGGCTTAGGAGTCGCGTTAAATGCGCGTGCTGTGGCAGAGCACATTGACTGGTTCCCGGTCAACAGCCCGCTTTGTGCAGTCCAGTGCGGTCTTCCAGTCACGGGACCAGTAGACGGTGATTATTCATTGTAGCAGCGTGCGCTTCTACGGACTGCAGCCCGGATGCAGCCAAAGATGAGTTCTAGCATCGATTCACCGATCTTCCCAACAAGAAAGGCCGCACAGACGTGATACTCGCTGGAGACCTAAAGGCGCAGGTCCGTAGATTAGAGTTTCATGAACGCGAACTTGGGAGTAAAAACAGCCACGGTACTAGCATGACGGAGAACGGCAATCGACTCTTTCAACCGTGCGCCGACGACGGCTTGTTCCTTATGAGCACCAATCTCCGACATTTTTGGCGCCAACGAGCCACTTGGCGTCTGGTCAAGCGTGGACGCAGATTAATCACATCGCTGTTAGTTACTGTTAGCGAGGCTGCATACCGGAATGCAAGTCAACTTGGAACATTTACTTGACTTCGGATTATGTGCTCCTGTGTGCTAAGAACGTTCTGCGCTTTGGAGGCACTTAACAGGGTCGCCGCAAACGGCTTGACACAGGCAAGCTCGTCGCTCTAAATGTTCTTATTGCATTTCAGAAAAAACCACACTAACTTGCCTTTCCTATCCTTCGACTTCGAGACACACTGGGCACAGATTCAGAGTGCCTTATGAAAGTCCGTTACCTTGGTCAGTGGCTTCACTAGTCGGGCTGCTAGTCACTGGATGTCCGCACGATCTCTCCAATTAATGGAAAGCCGTCGAGCAATTCTCGCCGAAGTTGTGTAACCGCACTACGTAGAACCACAAGTGCTGAGCTCAGACAGCTTCTCAGGATCGGGAGGTCTGGTGGACACAACGCGTCGTTGAGAGGAAGCGAGCAGTTTTCTCAGAAAATTCCCGTAAACAATTCCAGATGATTCTGTCCAGGGGAGGCAAAAATCCAACAGTGAGTGAGGCTTTGCGTGAAAAGTACGGCGAACTAATTCACAGTCGTCAACGTCGTCTGGTACCATGGGCAGAGAACTCTGAAGATCAGTTCAACTGGCCACCAGCACAACCGAGCCCAGCCCCCAGGATTCACAGTGCTCCACCGACTGAGAGTGAGATTTCCCATGAGCTTCGCCTATTAAAGCGCCACAACTCGCCTGGTCCAAATGAACTTCCTACAAATATGGGGTCCTGCTTTCACCCGTGACCTGACATCCCTCACTGATCATATTTAGACTACCGAAACCATCCCATCCGATTGGAAGTTAGCGGATGTCGTAGCTGTCAACAAAAAAGAAGATCGGACCGTTTGCTCCAATCATCATGGGAGTAGTCTCATTTGTGTTGCATCCAAACTACTCGCTGCCCTACCCTTGCGTAGGCTCAGCTGCGTACGGGAACAGCACCTGCGTGAACAGCAAGCTGGGTTTCGCCCTGGTCGCAATTGCGTCGATCACATCTCCATGATCCGTCGAATACTTTAACATCACCATACGTTTACCCGACCAACCATAGTCATTCTTGGCTGGCTTGCCGAACAACCTCCTCGTGGTGCCAGCTGGGTGGTTCGGGATTTTCACGTTCCAGCAAATGGTTCGGCGGCAGTGTTCCAGGACGTGGTGGGTTTTCGCCTGGCAAGCGTTCTCCCTATAAAAAGCCACATGTCCGTTTAACAACACTGTGACGTGGCGGACGTGACTCGCCACTAAATAAAGTCACTGCCCCTTGCTTCAACCTGGCGAAGCATTGTATTCCAGCAGCCTTATGCTGTACTTCTGGGGAGCATTGGGCCCCTGTTTGACAAAGGAACAAACGAAAGGCGTATGAACTGAGCAATCAGTCATCGGCTCCCAATGGGCGCGATTCCCTGAATTCGCTCCGCTGCCTTGCGGGCAGGCTATTCAGCCAAAGGCTCGGGGTGGTGTCCCCTAAGTCAACACCCTACTTCGGCTTGGGCAACCGGGTAGTATCTCGCCCTCTGAGGAAACCATGGACATTGTTGTGTTGTGTTTTATTGTACCGTTTCTGTACTTTCGTTTGAATCCCATGGTTTCTGATGGCATTATGTCTGTTAGCAGACATTTGCAAATAATAATATAATAATAGTCATTCTTGTACATTCGAGCCGTGTTTGACTCTGTTGATAGAGTGGCTCTGGCACTGCTCACTGAAAAGGGGAGTACCTGAGAAATACATCAGCATTCTCCGTGCCAGTTACCGTCAAACATCAGGCCGCGTGCGAGTATATGGAGACTTTTCGTCCCTCTCAAGATCACTAGTAGTGCAAGACAGGGTTGTCCAGCCTCTCCATTCTTGCTCAACTTCGCCATGGACGAGATTCTGAATACTGCCTGGAAAACGCTGTCCAGCGGCGTCGAAGCGCTCCCAGATGACCGCCTTCAGGACTTAGAGTACGCAGATGACATCGCTGCTATTTGTGAGTCCTCCCAGGTAGTTCAGCGTGTGCTGCTTAGATTAGAGATTTTCGCCTCTCAATCTGGGTTGACCTTTGCCCCCACCAAATGTAAGGTCCTGTTACAGGACTGGCCAAGTGCATCTCCTCTTACTATTACGAGGCATCCATTAGAAGTGGTCAACAAATTCATTTAACTTAGGAGTTGTCTTAGTATTGGCGGTTTGCCAGATGAGATCTCCCTGCGTGTCTCCAAGGCTAGAGTAGGTTTAGATAACCTGTGGCTTCGTCGTGACCCCAGCTACACTCTCAAG